CGGTAAATTAGCTAATGTCTTTTCTTTGAACAATACTACAGTTTTCAATATAACAGAGATCAATGTATTAATGAAATATGTAGCAACTCCATACAATGTTGAGTAGTGAATAAAGTAACAAAATTTTCAAAGTAATTGTCATTGGTTATATCACCAGTTGATAAACCTATACCTAACCATTTTTTAATACATGAATTCAACTTCTTTTTGAAACAAACCTGCATAATTATGTTTTCTTTCAATTGACTAAGTTTCATATTTCATTATTGTGAATTGAAACCCAGTAAAATTCTCGCCGAATTATTAATTTTAAAAGTATATAAATATAAGTAACTAAGCACAACCGCACAATGCTTTGCTTTTATGAGCTGAATTCACTACACCAACTTATACAGCTTGGCTTTCCTTTTGTGAGTGATTGGAATTCGAGCCCATCCACGGGGATCTAGAAAACGAGATACGATATGCTTTTACTTATAGCTGGTTTGATTGAATATATTTATACAAGCTCTTTGCACTTCTCCGTTACAACTTTTAGTTGGCTCTAGAAATATACTAAAGAATTTTTCATAGGAAGTTGAATTTACCTTAAACATAGGATTTTAAAATGCCTACCTACATTTTTATGACGTATCACAACTTACAGGGTATTGCTTAGTGGTCGCATACCTGTCAACTTCTAATTGTGTCTTTAGTACAATCCCTCCAAAATGTAAGCATCAAATGAAATATTTCTAAAACTAACTGTTTTATTGATGAAAAAAATTGAAGCTCGCATTATTTATGTTCTTTTATTTTCAGATTTTTTTTCTGTCAACTATTTCTTGAGGAAACTTCATAATGTTCCGCTCGCAGATGGAGAATGTGTTTTTGAAAGATTGGTTCAGAATATTTCTTATTCAATATTTGTTAAGTGGTCATTAAGTTATAAGAGAATCGTGTGAATTGCGAAAAAAATATCAACAAATTTGAGTTCTCAACTGTGTTTTACATTCTCTCGAGGAGTTCAAATTTGTTGTTGATGGGGTCGGTATAAAATGCTCATTCTTACCACTTTGTTCAAATACCTTTGATCAGTGATCTTGATTCATGGAAAATCACATACTCTTTGAATTTATTGAAATCTTCACGTACCTGTATACAGTTTATTCATTTTTTTTGTAGTGGAAGATAATTTCATATAACAAAAATTTCTACCCGTATTGAGTCTCTCATTGAGTCTCTAATTACAAAACGAGCTGTTCATTTCTGTAGAATCATGAAAAGTTATACGTCGCATTTGAGTTTGTTAACCGTATTTTGTTTGGATTATGTTACTCTAAATGATAAATAATCAACAATCTCATAGAAGGTAAATGCCGCGTTGTATTCTGAGTCTTACTCAATATACTGAAATATACAATTTTTTATTATCAAGAAAGTATAACTGCTATTGCATATTGAGAATTAAATGTCAACTAGAGCCCCATAGTATCCATTAATATTGTAAAGTAGGAAAAAATGACAACTAATAAATGAAGTGAATTTAATTTACAGTTTTGCCTCCAAAATAACCCCCTACAAATTGAAACCGATTTCATCCATATTCTAACACACAATGTCACAGTCCTACATAGAGAATAACTTCGTTGCTATTTCATAAAAAACTTATTACAACACCGTCTTTAAAGTTAGTTTAACATTTTTGTAGTGCACGAAAGGCTATGTTCTTTGCTACTTTCGCATAGTCTATTCAGTAGTCTAGAGCCGCCAAGAGACTTCAGAGGATTCTAAAAGTTCTCAACATTGAAATGTACGATGAAAAGAAAAATTACTGTGGTAGTAATAGATAAATACCTCTTGGCGGGCCTATAGTAGTAAAAGCACTCTGTGTAAACCGTTTTCTCTCAATCTCGAATATTATAAAATGAAAAATGAAAACGTTTCAAAATATATTTTATTACAGAAACACCACTATGGCTACTTCTTCAGATTTCACCTATAAAAAACGAAAGAGATCTAGTCGTTCTCTTCTTGTTAACCTTCAGAGATATAACAGCATTGAAGCAGCCAATAGAAACGGACGACACAAAAGGAGGTAGGAATATTTTTTTGAAATTATTTGTGGTGAAGAATTCGATGAATGATGATGAAGCAATTGATGATTCTTTTATATAGTGTAATTTGAATTAACGCTTTTTGTTTCAAAGAACAGTGTATAAAGAAGTGGGTATTTATGGAAACTCGGGGTTGCACTTTGACATGACATAATAAATATCACAGTCGAAGTGATAAATAATTTGGTGGTCAATGCTTGGTTTTTGAAGAGAACGTTTTTGGAGATTCAGGCGCCGGCGACGTCTACTATTTTACTCGTAATTGTTCTTCAAAAACAAAAATATCGCTTTTCAGACCCAAACAAGTGAAGTGTTTTCAGTAATTTCACACCTCAATTATGAAATCAGCATGGATTTAAGTTAATTATGTAAGATAATTTACCAACAAATACTCAGGTACGCACTCTATACATATTTGCACTTATAATTAATATAACATAATTTAAAATACCAATGAGCCTAAGTGCCTACCAAGTGAAACACAAATTTTCATATAGGTGTAATACTCACGAGGCTTTGCAAATTGCTGTGTTTGAAATCTATAGCCAAAATATAAATTAGGCTTATGGGTCTCATTAAGTCTAATGAGGAACTTATTTCCGACTAATCTATCATAAAATACTTCAACAAGTCATTGTTGTTATTTTTTATTTTTTTTTATCTTGGACCATTACTTGACTGCTGAATTTCACGTTTTGGCAATATTTTATACTTCAGGTTTATTTGGAGTCGACATCAACTTTCGAATTTTAGTTGAAACACACCCGAATATCATACAATTTTTGGAACTCTAATAATTTTTTAAATTGAATAATATGCCGTAAATGATATGACAAAACTCCATATTGTCTAATGACAATATTTAAGACTACTGTTGTCTGAATCACAAATACATTTTCTACATATCAAATCCAAGTACGTGTAACATAGCTGAAAACAATGGATATTCTTCAAAAATTGTAGATAAGTTGATTAGGAAACGTAAATTTACGAAGAATATTCGTCAATCTTTGAATTAAAAAAAAATAGTTTATTGTTCATCCATATGAACCAAGAAAGATTCAACAAATGTTAGGTAACCCTGAAGACATAATTGAATAGAAACGGCCGATACTTGATGAAAATCCATATCAAAAAACTTATCAAAACAGTTTATTGTATGATTTTCACTATAAGGATTTTACAAAAACCGCGACACGTGTTTCGCTATACAACAGCTTCTTCAAAAGTAGGTGGAATCTCAACCCTCAACAACACAGACATTAAAGATAAATTCATAAGAGAGCTAAACTAAAAAACAATACACAAATTATCGATTCAAGAGCAAATTGTAGACAAATGAAGAAACAATTTTGCAAGAAGAATCTGAAAGAGTGGTGTTCCAAGATTGTGAGTGAACAACAAAATTGGATAGACATTAAATGCTGGGTTCAAAAAAACAAAACATAACATGAGACCAAGTAGAAAGAAACCAAGCGGTGTCATTATACAAAAAAAATATGGGGATATAGAAAGATGCAGAAGGCAAAAAAAGACAAGAACGAGAAATTATTCAGAAGAAGAACTGACGCAGAAAATAATACAACCAACTGGTAGAGCGGGAGGAATGAAGACCAAACACAAGAATAACAAAGCATAGCCGAAACAGATGTAGGAAAAATGAAAAAAGTATTTCAACACCAAACTGAATAAATGGATGATAGAAAATAATTGACGGAACATGAAGCGAAGACAGAGAATAACAATAAGAAGAGAAAATAGAAAATAGAAATTAGAGTATAGCCGAAACCGATCTAGGAAATATGGAAAGAGTATTTCAGCACCATTCTAAATAAATGAATGATGAAAAATAAATAACGGAAAAGGAAACCGAAGCGAAGAAGAACAAGAAGAGTAGAAAATAGAAAAGAGAAAACAAATTCAAAAAGGAACAAAAACGACGATAAACAACGATAACTTTTTCGGTTTCTAATGTTTTCTAATGATTTCACATGTACGATAATTACAATTGAGTTTTTGTTATTATTGTAGAGATAAGTTCCGATAAATGAGAAAATATTGTGTTCTGATGAAATTGTATAATCTAATACGATCCTTATTTTTAAGAAACCTTTGTTGTGCTCTCGAGCACAATTCATTGGCAATTTTTGACAAACCTCGTATTTGACTGAAGAATTCGATAACGGATGGTTGCATTTAGATTTCAGTCCAATATATTATATTTCTTCTATGATAATAACCTTATTGGCGGTATCTGGGAAAATATTATTAGATATACACATAGTTTGAAAAATACTCTACTCATAACATGTGTAAAAATTGAGTTCTGATGAAAAAATTCATTAGCTATTTCTTTTTCTTCCCTAAATCGAACTTTTAGATTAGTAATTTTAACTTTATTATTATTATTATCGTTCTGAGTAGACTGAAATGAAACATAGTCCTCTTTATTGTTAAATAAAATTATCTTAATTGGCCCTTGCAATATTACTTGTTTACAATACAGGGTGTTATATACAAAAATTGAAAGTTGATGTCACTTTCGGAAACAACAAAAATAAAAAACAAGTGTCAATACGTCACTATCCGACTTTTATCGAGCAGTCAAAGTAGTAAATGTCAAAGAGAAGGGTTATCTAAATTTGCAAAACCTAGATATAATCAATATCCTAAAGGAAGTATTACTTTGAATTTGTATTTCATATTTTATTCCTTATATTGAAATGGCAAAATAATATTCCATTTTTCATCTACTGACCATAGTAGAAAATTTTTCTTAAGTGGGTATTTGTTAATGATTTGAACTATTGTCTTTTCTCTTTTTTTTCTACTGTCTCTTTTTCTTCGAATACTAATTTCATCACAACTTTAAATCATGAGAACTGAATATATTAATCTTCACAGGTTTATCGAAATTCGCCAAGCTCGCACGTTCTGTGACGAGGAGCCGATCTGTACTAGTTTCGCAGTTTTCATCACATTTACCAAACCTGAAGGATACAACAAAGCAATCACATCTGGCACAAGTATATAAAAAATAATTGAAGAAAATAATAACTAATTGCTTTTTTTCCACGCTGCTCTGGATTTTTTTTCTCCATTTCATTCATCATGTCATTCAGATGATGAGTTTGAATGCGGACATAATGCCTCAGTACCGACAGGAAGCCCCCAAGACCCCTCCACACATTTTACTTCACTACTGCGCCTTCAAAGCTATATGGGATTGGATTATACTATGTTTAACTTTTTATACAGCCATCATGGTTCCTTACAACGTAGCCTTTAAAAATAAGACATCGGAAGATGTGTCTCTGTTAGTTGTGGACTCAATCGTTGATGTGATATTCTTTATTGATATAGTTTTGAACTTCCACACGACTTTTGTTGGGCCAGGCGGGGAGGTTGTTTCCGACCCTAAAGTTATAAGGATGAATTATTTGAAGAGTTGGTTCATCATTGATTTGTTAAGCTGTTTGCCGTACGATGTCTTCAACGCTTTCGACCACGATGAAGATGTAAGTTTATACGAATAGAAAACATGTATCTCCTGAATAATATTTCAAATATGTTATAACAATGATGTAAAATTAGGAAATGAATTTTTATTCGGAGTTACTTGTCATATATTCAGTTTCAGAAATGTAAGTAGGTTGATAGAGTTTCCACAATACGGAATACGCTTTTCCTAGACGACGGAGGGTGGAATTCAACACGCGATTGAAATATACCGCAGTGAAGATTTTTATAGGTATAAGGTCATGTAAGATTACGACCTACTTATATAAGAAAACCGTCTCGTGCAAAAAGTCACTTATTTTAATAAACTCACGATATATCTGGAATGAAAACGTTGGGTTTTTCATGAGTCGCCAAGGATTTGATATTTTTTTCATCATATTCAGTTGTACTCCTTATGAAAGTGTCATTTTATACTTCTATTTTTTCTATTTATTTATTTTCAGGAGAGAGTGGGTCTATTCGACCCTCCACCGCAACCCGCAAGGGTTTATTGTGGCTCACACCTATTCACACTCGACCAAAAAATAAACCCAGCTTCTTAAGGAAGCCGATCAGTTTGAATTGGGGGTAGTCTTTCAGGTCAGATGGTAAAAGTACGGCTCTGCCGAACTCTAAGAACAGAGGCCACACACACTGTCTTCCAACAGTCCGAGTTTTGCTTATTCAAGTGACAGTAACCTGTAAGATGGCCTGTTAGTCATCGTAGTACATCCCACCTGTAGTCCAACAACTGTTCGTTATCAAGCTTCGTAGTGTGAATAAGCGCCCTTAATTGAGTCAATCCTAGAAGATTCTGACAGAAGTCCATAAATCTTCTTGCCATCCAGGTTTTCAATGTTTGTTTGGCAAAACCTAAAGCGATGCCAATGACAAGTTCTGGTCCGATGAAGCTGCTTGCAGCACCCTCTTTTGCAAGGGAGTCAGCAGCATCATTACCTAACAGGCCAATATGGCCAGGAATCCAGACCAGAGACAATTTGTTCAGTCTTCCCGGCGAGGAGAGTCTTTTTTGGCAATTTCCTACAAATTTAGATGTTGCTCGGTAGGAGCCAAGAGCTTCCAACGCTGCTTGACTATCCAAAGATATTTCCATTAACTTGCATGTGAGGTTGGATTCTTCCAATCTCTCCGCACACAATTCAATAGCATAAATTTCCGGTTTAAATACAGTCGCATAGGTTCCTAGGCATGTTGAAATCTCTGTCCTGGGTCTGCGACTGAAAACACCTGCACCAGAACTAGAAGGTGTTTTGATCCATCTGTGAACCAACAACTATCTGCTCTTAATATGATAGACAGTGAAAGATGTAACACTTTCTACTTTTTGAGGAATATACAATTTGGCGAAATGAACTTTTTCTTCGATTTTAAAGATTATCCTTATTCTACCTTGTTGAGTGATGCGATATGTTGTTCATTTACAGTCAATAATTACAAAAAAAATAACAATGAGATGTTGAACCATTCCTACCCTACCCAAGCAAGCGCAAATTATCCACATTGAGATTATTTCTCAGTGAATTTTTTTTGGAAATTTCAAACATGTGGTGGTGAGACGATCTCAGTTATGAATTCAGGATGAAAAATTAGTTGAAACAGCTTTTGTGAAAAAATCAAATCATCGAGCTTTGAAACAAAATACAAAAAGATTATATTCATGCACTTCAACTCATCCTCATTACATTTTTGAATGAAAATTCATTCCATCTACAACTTTTTTTCAAATGCGGACCTGTATTTTTGTCAAGTCTAACACATTCGGTCCTAGACGGCCATAACCATCGCAGCCAATTCAGGAAAAAAAAATATGTACCTAATTTTGGAATTTTAGATGGATAATTTCAAATCAATATTTTATTTTTTTCGATATTCCACCGGAAATAATTCAGAGATTTTCGAAAATTTTATAAATGTGCAGGCTATTTTTTCTTGGTTTGTTGACCTTGTTGTGCAGATTTTTATATCTGACGTTTCATCTACGAGTGCCCTAGATGAAAGACAAGGCGATGAGTTAACGAAACAAGTTCTCTAGCTGTACTCACACGAGATACTACATCAATAGTTTGGATATCCGGTTCATTAATAGAACCCAAGAAAGAGTTACAGGGAAGCTTCAACCAGGCCAGATTTTCTGGAAGATTTCTGGAGAAACAACGTGAAACTTATACTCATGCCAATGAAAACCATCATAGAATCCCTAAGAACCTTCAGAAATACTGGATTCCTTGAAGCTTCATAACGTAGTCGTTTATGAAATGCATGCATTACAATTTTCAAATCACGACCAACAATTATCTCCAGACGTGAAAGTTACGGTACTGACATTCGGTTGAATGGAAGCAATACGTTCCTTTCTGTACCATATCTACATACATACTAAAATTTAGTACCACGCTTCTCATAATAATGAAAACAATAATGACTGCTTTTATTGAAAGGTTACCAGTACAAGAGATATAATAACCCAACCTAAAAAATAGAAGAATTCAAAATCTGCACATAATAAATCTAGGCAGACATTACTCTTCTATCCAACCAGCAACAGCTAACTCAACAGAAAACAGAGATGAAGAACGAATAAATCAGACTTTGATATTTCAAAATTGAAAAGTCATGTCATAAATATGAAGGATATTTGATGTTTGATACTTTCTACATATTTATGGCAAATAAATATCAACTACAGATATCAAGGGATAAAATTTTATGAAAGAAGAGAACCGGATTGAAACATATCTCCTCAGACTTTTTTAAGTAAGTGGTGGTAGTGATTTCAATTCAATGGTTAGCCGACTATATAAGCGTACAATGTTATGAGAAAAAGAACCTCGAAAAAGAAAGGTTTTATGTTTAGGTGCAGTCACAACATGTTTGAATCTCAAATTCAAATTATGTATATCAGTTCTGAAGGACAATTTAGTGAATAGTAAGCAGATTTTCCAGTGGTTATGACCGTATAAAGTATACTAGCAGAATGCAGTGTGCGCCTAGCATCCATGTTCAGCCATGTGCAGCTGTTCAAAGAATTGAGATTACAAGCTCAGGTGCTCAGGTCTCCTTGTGCCTGTGACGAGCCTTATGTACGAATTACGCAGTTTCTGAAGTCTTTGCCTGTCAGATTTCCCTGTCAGTCCTCTACTCAGTTTGTAATCCAAACATTCGTTATGAAATAAAATCAGATATCATTCACAGGAGTTCTACACTAAATGTTGGTTAAAATGAATTGCACTCACATGGAACATTGCCATCCTCCTTGGTAGACATCGATGTTTCGCCGTAGGACACTTGCCTTAGGGCTCTTCAGTACCAATATGGATAACGCCAGTAAGGCGATAGACATTAGTTGAAGTTTTTGTTGTATTTAAAGTGAAATAAAATTAAGTTTGATTATTCAGTGTGGGGAGAAACGTAACAATATATACACCAATTAGAATACGTTTCAAAAAGTATTATAATTGTTATATACAGCACAGACATTTCAGTTAAATTGAGAACAATATTGCTCTCTTATAGTTCATATGGTTCGATTGGTTATTGAAGCACAAAGTTTCTGCTTAGTCAGAAAAGTGGTTCCATTCCTTTCATGCTATTTCTAAGTGGCCGATTTCTACAAGAAATTTCAAGTTTTCAACCAATTAAATATTTATAAGTCATTTACAGATTTTTGATAGTACTATTGCAAGGTAATAAAATATTCGTTGAATATCCTCAGTTTCAAAACATATATTGAACGTAGAAATATCGTCACTACAGATTTTTCATTACCCTATACAAGCCTATATTTCTATCCTGATAGAAATTGAGATCGTAACTGATACCTAGCAATTTCCCTCTATCATTCATAAATCCAGAAATATCCTGACAGATATGGTGAAATAACTACAACAAACGATGCTGGCATATTGTAAAATTAATGGAAACCTCATTTTCTCTCTTATATTTTTGGACTAATATATTTTCATTTAATTTTCAGGGCATAGGAAGCTTGTTCAGTGCTTTAAAGGTTGTTCGATTATTGCGGTTAGGCAGAGTGGTGAGAAAATTAGATCGTTATCTGGAATATGGTGCAGCGATGCTCATACTCTTGTTATGCTTTTACATGCTGGTGGCTCACTGGTTAGCCTGTGTGTGGTATTCAATTGGCCGTTCGGATGCCGATAACGGCGTCCAATATAGTTGGCTCTGGAAGTTGGCCAACATTACTCAAAACCCATATTCCTACGTGTGGCCCAACGATTCCAGTACACCTGAACTCATAAATGGACCCTCGAGAAAAACAATGTATGTTACGGCCTTGTATTTTACGATGACATGTATGACATCAGTTGGTTTCGGAAATGTGGCGGCGGAAACTGACAACGAGAGGATATTCACAATATGTATGATGATTATTGCTGGTGAGTTTTCAAACTGTCACCATTGTTTTGAAGTTTGTGTCTTCCATATTACAGTAAGACATTTTTTTTAGCTGGTATGTCATGATTGAAAGTCTACTTTTGTATTCAACAGTTTTTTTCAATAACCAAAATACTTACATAAAAAAATAATCAACCCTTACTTGACAATTCTCTCATTCATAGAACACACTTTTCCTTCATCAAAACAGATATGTCATCCTGATGATGATGATGACTAAAACTACTTCTTGCCAAAGAGGTTCCAAATACCATTTAGCAAATATTCTCTTATTTGACAGTTCATATAAGTCACTTACGTATATTATTCTACAGTTTCGTCTTGTAATACGTTTAAATTCATTTCTATTGAATGGGTAGGGTGAAAATAATAGTTCACAATTTACAATTCACTAACATTTAATGCTAACAGTTGTTTCAACACACTGTGTTATCTTCTGGGCTAGTTATAAACCAAGTATCACAGTATTCGCTTCTAAGCGACAAAGACTTCCTGTATAATAGCATATCTGCTCCAAATAATAATCTCATATACGATCATGCATTGTACTTTCTTGATATATATAATTTTATATTTAAAAAAGTAACACGTGATCTTCTTTTTATAACATTTACTTTTACCTAGTTATGCCAAGTGAGAAAAGTGACAAAACTTATTTTGGAAGTATTCAAAGAGTCATATTTGTCATATAGCCAAGTACATAATGCAAACATGTTTGGAGCATACAGGATTTACAGAAAAACAAAAGTGAGGAGTCATCTGCAAACAAATAGGTAAATACATCTGGGAGTAACTCATTCACATATGACATAAATGAAACATAACCTAATATCAAGCCTTGAGGCACTTCAATTTCCACTGACAATTCTGTAGATTCACAGAGTGTTTCATAACTACGATCCGAAACTTTTTTAAAGTTTATTATTTTATTAGATTAGGCAACTGAAAATACAACCAAAAACAAAATAATCACTTTCGTGGTTGAAGTTAATGAGCAAAATGTCCGCCTTCTGATGAAAAACACTATTACAAACGATTTGTTATTGGTTGTCACATGTTCAAAAATACCTGAAGTATCCCTCATGACATTGCAATTGTCAGTTATTCGATTCCTCAAGTCATTCACATCTAGTACAGAATTTTCGTAAACAAGACTCTTCAGACCCCATGATGATTCATATTAGGACTTCGGGCTGACCAACTTTGAGGTCCTCCACGTCCAATCCAGCGAATAGAGTAGGTGAAGTCGGTTTGCTGACGAGCTGACGAGCAAGAACACTAAAATGAGATGGAGCCCCGTCGCGTATTAACCACATGTTGCCTCTGACAAGTACCGGCACTTCTTCTAACAAAGTGGGTAAATGGTCTCGCAAAAAGTCCGTGTAGAATTAATTTATTAATGTTCCTGATAGAAATAATGGGTCAATTAGAGTCACCAATCATTCCTACCCAAAAATGGTCATTGTAAAAATTCATAATAGCATCTCATAAAAAATTTGCCACGTCCGTAAATGAAATATTTGGTAAAAAATATCATTGTGTGCCATCGTATGAATCAACCACCTGCAAAACATCAATCTTGGGTGAAAAACTCGTGGCAGTAGAGTTTGGACCCGCTGTACGTGATATGGATATAAGAGGTTGTTTTTAGAAATGATAATACGGTTTAATAGCTGACTTCCAGCTGCAGTGCAATCTTCCTGGTACTATTTGAAGGGTGTTTTTCTATCGCATCAAGTATAGCTTCTTCTAGTTCAGGCATTGTTACAGTTCCTGGTCTTCCACCACCTGCTTTTTTACTAAAACTACCAGTTCCACATGATTTTGCATGTAGCATTCTGAATGTTTCATCACAAAGAATTACTCTGTTGAGATATATGTCCTGGTAAAGACTCCGCATTTCCATTTGTTAATCCATTAATAAAGTGCATGTCAGCCATTTCAGTCACACTGAAATTATTTATGATGGAATCACTGCTAATTGGCAAATGTGACTTTCACTGATATGACAACACTTTCACTTCCGGCTGGTTTCCAAAGCAGGTGTTCACGATATTAGTGTGGCTTCAATTTTTTTTTCTCGAAAACGAAGCTAGATATGAAAACACTAGCGAGAAAAAAGTTGTATTTTCAATTGATTGATCTGAAAGAATGAACAAATACAGCAGCAAGTCAGTGGCGTACCTTTTTTTCCAATATTGTTGGCTGAGGTGCTCACTGAGCATCCACTGGACCTAGTTAGGGCTGAATGAGCGTATTATTACTTTAAATATCTGTATCATATTTCAAACAAATCGGTGTGAAGATTTTCATGATATTTCATAAACACGTATTTTTTTAACTTCAATGCCCTGTATCTCAGAAACGAAGCATCTCCACGAATTTTTTTTTAACGACCTAACGAATCACTCTCTAAAGTTTCGTATGGTAGTTAGGGAACACCCTGTATATGATTTTTTCTTCGACTTTCTCATGGTTCCCTGTAGGTGCCAGTTAGATAAGAAGACATACAATCGTAAAGCGCGCGTACTACCCTATTTGAAGGAATTAAAAATTTCCTCATGGAAGCTATAAATAGCTGCGGTGTTATGCCTTTCATAAAATGAAACGATTGTTTCAATATATCGTGTTCAGAAATTTTTGGAATAAACCCGCTGATTGTACTATGTCGGTGGTTCTTCATTCTCTTGAAGTTTCCTTTTTAAAAGACAGTAAACAGTTTTCATTCTTATGATACATTGTTAGGAACCTTTGGTGTAGTAATGAATATTACTGGAGGAAGATTAAAAACAACCTTTCTCTTCGAAGATGATCACTTGGTGATCGAAACACGTGTCGAGGTGTTAAAAATAACGATTTGGTGTTGGGAAAAAACTCCAGTAATATTCAGTTTTCATTCTAATTGAAAGCACTCCCTAGTAAAATGATACATTCATTGTATCATTTTACTAGTTTACAGGTTTAAAGCCGTCGTGTTTTGGTACTGTATCCTAACGTTTCGGCAGCACGAGTGGCTGTCTTCTTGAGAGGTTTATTCATCTTAACCAATTCATCAAAATGATATATTCATCAAATAAGCAAAAGGTTCACTTTCTTTGGTAATCAATCCTTTGATATCCTCAAGACCAAGAGAGCGTTTATTTTCAATTTTTGTTTTATACTATGGATATTTTCATCTTTGGAAATATGGGTAACAAACATACTGTCAAGCAGACCTTTTTCATTCTTTCTGTTGTTCTTCGTTCTTCAGAATGGATCACATTATGCAATAACTAAACATCTCGGAACTCGAAATTTTACTTGGTAGTATTTGCTAGTTTTATTATCACATTGACAACTAATTTTTGTCAATACATTTTTTATTCAAAATCTGATTATCCTTTAGGGAAAACCAATGTTTATATCTGAACTTTATGCTTCTTAGTTGTCATTATATATTTTTTTCCATGCAGAAAAATTTTTTGAGTCCAAGCTGTTTTTCAAATAAAGTATAAATGATTTTCAGCTTCAGAAGGTAATAAATTGGTTCGCACAAGTTTCAACTTTTGAGAGTTGCCGTTGTAGGGGGGCAACAGCTAGTTAACGGATAACAGTTTCAACAGATTTTACTAGTCCAAGGTGATTTTGACATAATTCAACATACTGATTGAATTTTGTGTTGTTGATATGGAGTGGAAAAAATTACCCAGTGTAGCTTGGAAACGTGAGAAATGTTTAATATTTTTCGAATTCCTTTAATTTCGAGAAATTCATCAAATTCTTCGTTATAGTATTTCAATCCTTTGTAAATATAGAAAAATACCTTTCTTCTCAAAGATGTTCTTTCTTGAATCCACATATTCCTTTATGTGATTTCGACTTTCTTCTTTTCTTTTGTGTTCTCTCATGAAAGTTGAATTTAATTTTCATTGAAATGTCAAAACCTGTCATTTGTATAAAAAATATTTTCGACTTCATACTTCCCTATCAGCGTCTGATACAATTTTCATATTATAAAATAATTCATTTGTGAAACTGTTGTCACTGAATTCTAAAATTATAAGTACGCCCCTGGTGATGAAAACTTGATGAACTCTGCTGTTCACTACCACCACTTCAAACCGATTAACTTTTGTTTTTTCAAAAACTTTCGACGCGAAAAATGGAATCGATCCAACTTTGTACACATGTTAATAGATAAAACAAGAATCGTTTCCAAATGCAAACATTGGTGTGCGCTTGGATCTCTCTATTTCAGGAAGAATCAAGATTGCTGGAGATCGAGTGTTTCCGTAAAAATATTTCACACAGAAAAGGGTATTTCTATCCAACTGCCATAGAGTCGAGGTGCCTTGAAATTAATCGAGTCTCAGGCACTTCGCTGTTTGGATCGGATCTTTCCTGCACTGACAAGATGTAATACTTCGAAAGCAGGGTGTAGTTGATCTACTCGAATGATTTCAACATGGTCCTGCTACTGGACGAACGAGAAACATCTGCGAAACTAACCTCTGTGAGGTTTCTTGCATAAATATTTGTCGGATATAATTCAATATCCGGCTAGATATTAGCCGTGAAATTAGTTGTTTTCCAACAGGTAGATAGTTGGAAGGGATGCATGTTTCGAGATTTGATTTGGAAATATCAATTTTATTAAAATCCATTACCATGCTGAAAGTGTCAATTGAGGAAGATTATTTAAATTTCATATTGATTCATATACTTGCTGGACATTTGAGAGCTGAACGTACTGGAAAATGATGCAGAACGCCTTGGATACGTAACTATGAGAGACGGAACGTAAGGATTTTTACGCGAGGAAGGATCGAGAGTGGGTGCTAACAGAATAACACAGGCGAGTGCAATTATGGCTCCAGTAAATTAATCAAGAAATATAGCTGCAGAAGCAATTTTTCATTGATGAAAATTATACTGAATAATTTCATGTTACAGTAGATTTAAATAGAAATTTCGTAAAATTTGATATAAAATTAAAAAACTG